GAGGGTAGGGGAGGGGTATACAGTGTCTGTAGCACCGAAATGGAAAAACCGAAAATGCCGAAACGACAACGCCGGAAAACATGCTCTCGAGGGCGGATACGACCTATCTCTTTAGGCGACGAGCAATCACGACCCCCCTCCCTCTCCCCAAGATTCTCCCAAAGTTCTGGATAGCCGAACGAAACAGGAAAAATCAACTATCAAGAAAATTTCTTAGGCCAAGTACGTTCTCTAGCCCTCCACTGACCAAGTACGACCCTCCTGCAGGAGATTGTCGAACGTACATAGGACGGGCCCTGTCATCCATTAGTCAATCAGTAGAGGTTCGAAGTTCCACAGGCAGCTTGAGGGACTTCACCCCCGTATTCTTTCTTGAACGATTGTCAAAACGTAAATGATTTGGCAGAATGCCAAAACCTTACCTCGTTGGTATTGCCGTTTCTGCCAATTCTGTCCTGTAATCGTTTGTAGTTGCAGCTGCTGTGGTAGGGTATATCGTTGTTGCTGAAAAAGTATGAATTGGTTTTTGCATTTAGACAACTAAAAATAAACTATTGGCTGTGAAGGCAGGTCCTGAAAAGAATTATGTGACGGTAGGTTATAAACGGAATGCCTTCGGTTGTTGTTGTTTCGATGAAAGTTGTCGTGGGAGTTTCCGCAGTTGTTACCACTGGCTCTCCATTTGCCAGCCCCAGTAGACGCATCCTATCTGTAAAAACGCCCTGCAGCCGATTGCACCAGACTTTTGGCAAAATGCCAGCACTTACATAGTTGCTTCTTTCTCAGCTGAGGTGCAATACGTGATAACGGATCTTTTATGATCTTGTTGTGTTCCAAAACCGCCTCAATCACTTCCTGCAAATAGCTGGTGTCTCATAATGACGCATGGGGACCTAATTGTATGACATTCTGGTAAGCGCGCGACTCATGGGGTATGGTTTGACAGGGAGATATAAAAAGTTGGGCAGCCTTCAGACTTCGCGATGACAGCACTTGGATCGCGCGTTCGACGCCATCGATGCAGTAGAAAGCATGCGCATCGATCGCGCCGAACGC